ACATGGGTACAGATCAGTGGTAGTAAGGTACATGGGTACAGATCAGTGGTAATGAGGTACATGGTACGATCAGTGGTAATGAGGTACATGGGTACAGATCAGTGGTAGTGAGGTACATGGGTACAGATCAGTGGTAATGAGGTACATGGGTACAGATCAGTGGTAATGAGGTACATGGGTACAGATCAGTGGTAGTGAGGTACATGGGTACAGATCAGTGGTAATGAGGTACATGGGTACAGATCAGTGGTAATGAGGTACATGGGTACAGATCAGTGGTAGTGAGGTACATGGGTACAGATCAGTGGTAGTGAGGTACATGGGTACAGATCAGTGGTAATGAGGTACATGGGTACAGATCAGTGGTAATGAGGTACATGGGTACAGATCAGTGGTAGTGAGGTACATGGGTACAGATCAGTGGTAATGAGGTACATGGGTACAGATCAGTGGTAGTGAGGTACATGGGTACAGATCAGTGGTAATGAGGTACATGGGTACAGATCAGTGGTAATGAGGTACATGGGTACAGATCAGTGGTAATGAGGTACATGGGTACAGATCAGTGGTAATGAGGTACATGGGTACAGATCAGTGGTAGTGAGGTACATGGGTACAGATCAGTGGTAGTGAGGTACATGGGTACAGATCAGTGGTAATGAGGTACATGGGTACAGATCAGTGGTAGTGAGGTACATGGGTACAGATCAGTGGTAATGAGGTACATGGGTACAGATCAGTGGTAGTGAGGTACATGGGTACAGATCAGTGGTAATGAGGTACATGGGTACAGATCAGTGGTAATGAGGTACATGGGTACAGATCAGTGGTAGTGAGGTACATGGGTACAGATCAGTGGTAATGAGGTACATGGGTACAGATCAGTGGTAATGAGGTACATGGGTACAGATCAGTGGTAATGAGGTACATGGGTACAGATCAGTGGTAGTGAGGTACATGGGTACAGATCAGTGGTAGTGAGGTACATGGGTACAGATCAGTGGTAGTGAGGTACATGGGTACAGATCAGTGGTAGTGAGGTACATGGGTACAGATCAGTGGTAATGAGGTACATGGGTACAGATCAGTGGTAATGAGGTACATGGGTACAGATCAGTGGTAGTGAGACGGAACAGAGGTAAACATCTACAGAATAAACACAGTCAACAAGCGGCAAAACATCCACCTGAGATGTTACAGTTTTACTGCCAGGGGCTCTAGATGACTTGTTATTGTTGAGGGGACGATGAACAGTGACAAACACAAGACAATCCTGGCTATTTATTGGTTTCCCATTGTGGACACAGACTTTCCTGACGGAGAAGGCATTTTCCAGCAGCATCTTGTTCCATGCCACACTTCCAGAAAAATGCTGACATTCTTCGGAGTGACCTAAGTATTTAAACTGTCTTGGAAAGTCTCCTGGCCTTAACCCAGTTGAGAAACTCTGGGGAATAACGAAATGCAAGATCACGAAACAGGACTGTTTAACTGTGGAGTGTTACAAAAAACGCGATTCTAAAAAGTTTAGAGATCTCCAGTGAATACTAGAAAGGACTGCCCTTCTAGCATCCAGCCTGTTACTGGGTTTTCGTAACAGTTAGTCAGTATCCTTGTCCAATTATCCATTAGAATCCAGTATGATTCAATAGTGCTTCAGGATTACAACTGGTAGGCTACTAACTAGAGAAATTAAAATTTAATAAATTTATTAATTAAGTTGTCTAGGCGTATAACAAATTAAATTAATCACAATAATCAAAATAATATTAATCACTTCTCTCGTGTACAGTATTATTGTGCTGAGAGCACATATCACATTTATAAGTCTTATGTACCGTCTTTTACATTAACATTTAAATATATATATATACAAATAAGTGTGTGTATGTGTGTAAGTGCTTTAAGTAGTTCACTATGTCTCACGACTCGACTAGACTTAAACAAGTGACTGACAAAGTCCTCAAATAAACTAACTTCTTGACCAACTGGCAATCAGAACAGTCTGCTTGAACAATAAAAAGAATGCTAAGCCCAATAGCAATATAACAAGCAACTGCGACAGAATCAGGAACAAGGAGATAATATAACGACACTAAGTAGGGACCATCTGCAGATCCTCCACAAAAGTCACAAAACTCCCATACTACTGAATCTAAGTTCAGCATAAGAAAATCACCGACGGTGATAATACACAGATACCAGTACAAGTTAGGTCAGAAGCTACAGCTCAGGACCCGAGTTACTCAGAGTGTCTATGAGAGACACAACCTCAGTACAATGTCGAAAATCACTAAGTCTATACAATGTTCTGTGAACAGAGTCTCAGAACTAACAACAATAATAATGAGACAGAGACGATCTTCCAACAAGGGCGATTTAGGCACTTGTCAGGGATACATCCAACCACCAAGAGAGTCTAGACCAGACTGAATACTTCAAGGGAGGTGAGAACACCACCCCCCTTGATCACGTGATAGCTCCGTGGACAGCTGTTGCCCAGCAAGAAGCCAGCAGAGTAACGAGCCACAAGCGATAATTACAGTAGTTAGACAATCAAGACTTGAACTGAGCACATAATATGTTACATCCTACCTAACAAAATTTAATTAAGTCAAATAATAATATAAAGCAATATATTCACGATTTAGCTATTACCGCAAATATAAGCAATATAAAATTACATGAAAAGGTAATATACATGTAATATATATACATAATATACATTGTAACCCATTCAGGGGTTGCAACATGGAGAAGTTAACTGCTGCTGTTATTACGATCTGGTACCACCACGATGACCTTCCCAAAATGTGTTCAATATTGGTTAAGTCTGTGCCAGTGTGTAGCAATACTTATAAAAGCAAAGGGCCGTCATAACTCTTATTATATCAATTATCTGTCATATCACTGCCTGGGATATTTGAAATAAATATCCAAGTTCATCACTGTCCCAATTAATATACCCACTCCTGTACCTACCCACCTATCTTCCTCCTTGCCTACTTACCATCCAATCTACCTTAATTGCTACCAACCTATCTACCTTCCTTCCTCCCCAACTACCTACCTTCATGTTCCTTCACCATCACGCCTTTAATCTACTCACTGAACATTGAACCACTCACTAGAGACAAAACAATGCCTGGGAAATGGGATATTAAGTTGACTCTAAGCAAGGGAATGGTAGGTCTCCCCCATTTCTTGTCTCCAAGAGCCCTTCACCTGCAACAGTAAGGCAAACAGTAACCTGTAACAGTAAGATAAACAGTAACCCAACAGTAAGACCCTAAACTACCCTCAGACACCCAACATGTCGTGGCTACAACACATCACCCTTACGACTGTAACCAAAACCCAACCATGTGTTGTGTGTACTTTGTGTTCCCTAGTGTTGTGTGTACCTTGTGTTGTATGTGCTTTGTCTTGTGTTTTCTCTACGTTCTATGTACACATAAAAGCCTTCAGGGATTTTTATAATCTTTTGTTATTGTTCAACAATACACGTTAGGTCAAACTTTGAAGGGCATATAAAATACATATATATATATATATATATATATATATATATATATATATATATATATATATATATATATATATATTATATATATATTGTATCCACTATGTAGCTATCAAATACAATAGTGTAGCAGTACACTGCTGCTACACTATTGTATATTGTAAATGGGGATGTGCTAATAGCCTTGATGGTTTAATTACATAATGAGCAGTTAGGTTACTGGTAGTTAGGTCACTATCCTCCCTGGCTTGTTAGGTGGACTATCCCACCCATATCTTTTATGAAATGGTCACTAATGGATGTGAGAAGCTAGTCCCTTAAGGGCAGTGTGTTCAAGTGAGATACTATCCACTGGGATGGTGGACTATCCTGGATCGTGTCTCTCTGCCTATCCTTGGTGGTAGGTATACTGGTTTACAGGAAAGTAAATGGTTTATCTCTATCCTGTCATCCCTATCCCTTCTCTCCTCGAATATCCAGTGTTCTCTCTCTCTCTCTCTCTCTCTCTCTCTCTCTCTCTCTCTCTCTCTCTCTCTCTCTCTCTCTCTCTCTCTCTCTCTTAAATTGAATCAAAGACTGGAGTAAAATAACAGCTGATGCTGCAGACTCAAAGACAATACAGCCAGTCAAGAACCAGCTGGAGAAGCACCAGCTGGACAGCCGCCAGCTGGCAAGCACCAGCTGGACAAGCACCAGCTGGACAAGCACCAGCCTTCAGGACTGACATGTTCGGTATAAATTTATCATTTAAGACTATTGCGTCAGCCCAAATTGTTTTACATATCCAAAAAAATGTGGTAAGTCGGAATAAGCAGTAAGGTGTGGTGAGGGAGGCCTGGAGGGGGAGACGTTGCCTGGTGCACTCGCTACCTCACCCACCACCTCACCAAACACACACTATAGTCACCACATACACACTATAGTCACCACATACACACTATAGTCACCACATACACACTATGGTCACGACATGCACACTATAGTCACCACATACACACTATGGTCACGACATGCACACTATCACTAAATCCATGCAGACCATCACAGATGTCAACAGACGTGGCATTCTGAAGTCAAGAGATTCATAATGTCTGTCCCTGCACTTCAGTACATCTAGCTGATAACCAGCCAGTCCAGTTGTCGTCGTCAGCAGCAGCCGCCACAGAGGGTTGTGATAGTGGAACTACTGGTACACACAGCTCTGAGTCACAATTGAGAAATACAAGTAATTTAAGATAGTAATATTACTATTTTAGCACTATTACTATCCCAGGTCTACCATCCACTTTCAACTTTTCTGTAAAATTCCATAAAATTTTTCTGCCCTGTTGTCTGCTGGCAGTGACTGGAGGATGGGGAGAGAGCCTCCTGCTTTACCATCCTTGCTTCACACACAAATAATACAGGACAGTCCTAAATCCAGGTGCTCTCCCTATCCCTTACTCTCTCCCCATCTATCCCTTCTTCAGGTACATACCTGTACAAGACCGGAATGAACCTTGTAGTCAAGCTGGAAGAGCCTGGACTGTTCCAAACCTGTAGAGACGGAAAATTAGATATTAAAAAGGGTGCTTTAGGCATTTTAAAGAGAATAGAACAGAACAGGATGACTAGGAGGTTGAATAAATCTGGAGTGGAGGAAGGAGTGGTTGTTCTAGGTAAGGATGGAGTGGATGGGGTAAAGGAGATTTTGTATGCGAGGGCCAGGAGTGGAGGCAAGTGAGTTTTATGACTTCACGTGCTGTTAGAGTGTGAGCAAGGTAACATTTATGAAGGGATTCAGGGAAACTGGTCAGCCGGACTTGAATCCTGGAGGTGGGAAGTACAGTGCTAGCACTGTGAAGGAGGGGCGCGGACGCAGCAGTTTGGAAGGGCATCTAGACTCATGTAAACATGCTTCTGTCAAGACAGTGACAGAATGATGCTGAAAGTGTTCCTTCCTTTTCGGGTCACCTTGTATTGGTGGGAGACTGCCAGTGTTATATACACTCTCAGGGCTGGATCTATTATGTAACTAATGGAAGACACTTAAGGAATATTTGAAAGTTTCTGACTACCACTCACTACTTTGTGACCGTCAATATGGCTTCAGGAAAGGTTACTCTGCTGCTGATCTGTTGTTAAACCTCTCCACTAAGTGGCACCAGTCCCTGGATGAATCCAAAGTCAGCTGTGTGGTAGCACTGGACATTGCTGGCGCTTTTGACAGAGTCTGGCACCAGGGACCCTTGTCAAAGCTGCAAGCACTGGGAATTGTAAGCTCTATACTATGTCTCCTCAGTGATTACCATCAAGGTAGATCTCTAAGTGTAGTTCTCAATGGGACAGAGTCAACAAGACACTACTGGTGCAAGTGTTCTACAGGGAAGTGTACTTGGACCATTGTTATGGAATGTCTACTTCAACGACCTTCATCTCATCCCAGAATCACATGCATATGCAGACGACTGTACACTGACATTCACTTATCCAAGAGAAGAAATGCCAGCTGCTCTAAGCTACATAAGTCACCAGCTAAGAGCTGTATCAGCTTGGGGAAATAGATGGCAAGTAACATTTGTACCTGAGAAAACACAAATGATGATGGTCTCTAGGCACCATGATGGTAATGCTGGAGCAGTAGTAAGAATGATAGTCTAGGCACCATGATGATAATGCTGGAGCAAAGGGAAGAATAAATGGAAGAGTATTGGTACCCGGGGACGAAGCTGATATCCTTGGGGTGAAATCTGACTCCAAACTGACCATGAAGAACTACGTTGTAAATCTTGCAAACAAGGCAGCCAGGAGGTATCTCGCATCTGCTTGACAGTAGGGGTTGCAAGATTCTGTACGAGGCACAAGTACGCTCACACCTTGAGTATGCTCCACTTTCTTGGATTGACTGCCCACCCCCTCTCTCATTTGCGAGTTCTTGACAGAGTAGAGAACAGAGCAAGACGTCTCATCTCTCACCTGGATCCATCCTGGATAGACCTATCATTTCAGTAGAGCCTTCAACACCGGAGGGATATGGGTGGCCTTACTGTTATGTACAAGGCCAACATTGTCAAAGTACCACACTTGGCTCAACTTCCAGGACAGCGAGAAGTGAGCTTCTACACCACAAGACGGGCAGCCAGCAACAACTTCACTCTCGCTGTAACCTTCTCCAGGACATCTCAACATCTTATATAATTTATTCTCAGGATGAGTCTGGAACACATTCGTACAACATAATAATATCAACGTAATAAAGTCAGTTGACCAAATGAAAATGCTGGGCCACAGATGGCTCCAACTTCATCCTGTTCCCTACTTTATGTTTCATAACAAAAATGCTTTCAAATGAGCTGATGCAGTCAACAGCTCTTACCTTGCAAATAAAGTTAGGAACCCTTACCTTAACCTTGTTAAAACCTGTGTAAAGAGAGAGAGAGAGAGAGAGAGAGAGAGGTGATGGAAGACATTTAAGAGGTAACTCAGAGAGTAACATCAATGTGGATTCGTTAACTTAACATGTGTGGGTTATTTCGCAATTAACAAGACCTCAGTGAGGGAGAACAAGTATGAAAGACATAGTGGGGAGAAGAAGGAAGAGAAGGAGAAGTAAGAGAAGGAAGAGAGAAGAGAAGGAGGAGGGTGAGGCAAGAGAGGTTAAGAAAAGGGAGGAACAGACCTGGAAGAGGAAAGAAGGAATGAAAGTAGAAAGAAGTAACAGTCACACCTGTACATTGCCTAAGCCTAACCTAACCTTTACACTGCCTAAGCCTAACCTAACCTTTACACTGCCTAAGCCTAAAACACATCACCCCTTCCATAACACCAATCACTCACTGAGGTTTCAATCCGATCAGATGATACATTCCCGAGCTCTCTCACAAACCACTCCATTTTAAAAAATAAAACTGTAGCTAATTGAAGGTTTCAAGCCGATCGGAAGAGGCTTTCCCGAGTTATCAACACGGATTCCATAAAACCAGATGCAGTAAACCTTGCGTTGAAAGTTTGGACACGATCGGATGAGTCGTTCTTCAGTTGTAAATGAAAACCTTGGAAAATAATGTATACCTTGAGGGATACATTTAAAGGTATCCCTTGATAGACACATTTAGGGGTATACCTTGAGAGATACATAGGAAGGTATCCACTAAGGGATGCATATAAAGGTATCCCTTAAGTGATACATCTAAAGGTATCTTTTGAGGGACACATTTGAAGGTATCCCTTGAGGAATACATCTAAAGATATCTCTTAATGAATACATTTAAGGATATACTTTGATACACTTAAAGATATCCCTTGAGGGATACCCTAAAGGTATCCCTTGAGGGATATACTTGAAGGTATCCCTTAAAGATTCCTGCTACCCTGGCAAGCAGTGCAGTCTACCTGCCTGCTACCCTGGCAAGCAGTCTACCTGCCTGCTACCCTGGCAAGCAGTCTACCTGCCTGCTACCCTGACAAGCAGTCTACTTGCCTGCTACCCTGGCAAGCAGTCTACCTGCCTGCTACCCTGGCAAGCAGTCTACCTGCCTGCTACCCTGACAAGCAGTCTACCTGCCTGCTACCCTGGCAAGCAGTCTACCTGCCTGCTACCCTGACAAGCAGTCCACCTGCCTGCTACCCTGACAAGCAGTCCACCTGCCTGCTACCCTGACAAGCAGTCCACCTGCCTGCTACCCTGGCAAGCAGTCTACCTGCCTGCTACCCTGACAAGCAGTCCACCTGCCTGCTACCCTGACAAGCAGTCCACCTGCTGCTACCCTGACAAGCAGTCCACCTGCCTGCTACCCTGACAAGCAGTCCACCTGCCTGCTACCCTGACAAGCAGTCTACCTGCCTGCTACCCTGACAAGCAGTCCACCTGCCTGCTACCCTGACAAGCAGTCTACCTGCCTGCTACCCTGACAAGCAGTCCACCTGCCTGCTACCCTGACAAGCAGTCTACCTGCCTGCTACCCTGACAAGCAGTCCTACCTGCCTGCTACCCTGGCAAGCAGTCCTACCTGCCTGCTACCCTGACAAGCAGTCTACCTGCCTGCTACCCTGACAAGCAGTCCACCTGCCTGCTACCCTGACAAGCAGTCTACCTGCCTGCTACCCTGACAAGCAGTCTACCTGCCTGCTACCCTGGCAAGCAGTCTACCTGCCTGCTACCCTGACAAGCAGTCCACCTGCCTGCTACCCTGACAAGCAGTCCACTGCCTGCTACCCTGACAAGCAGTCTACCTGCCTGCTACCCTGACAAGCAGTCCACCTGCCTGCTACCCTGACAAGCAGTCTACCTGCCTGCTACCCTGACAAGCAGTCCACCTGCCTGCTACCCTGACAAGCAGTCTACCTGCCTGCTACCCTGACAAGCAGTCTACCTGCCTGCTACCCTGCAAGCAGTCTACCTGCCTGCTACCCTGACAAGCAGTCACCTGCCTGCTACCCTGACAAGCAGTCCACCTGCCTGCTACCCTGACAAGCAGTCCACCTGCCTGCTACCCTGGCAAGCAGTCTACCTGCCTGCTACCCTGACAAGCAGTCCACCTGCCTGCTACCCTGACAAGCAGTCACCTGCCTGCTACCCTGACAAGCAGTCCACCTGCCTGCTACCCTGACAAGCAGTCCACCTGCCTGCTACCCTGACAAGCAGTCTACCTGCCTGCTACCCTGACAAGCAGTCTACCTGCCTGCTACCCTGACAAGCAGTCCACCTGCCTGCTACCCTGACAAGCAGTCCACCTGCCTGCTACCCTGACAAGCAGTCTACCTACCTGCTTCCCTGACAAGCAGTCTACCTGCCTGCTACCCTGACAAGCAGTCTACTTGCTGCTACCTTGACAAGCAGTCTAACTGCCTGCTACCTGACAAGCAGTCTAACTACCTGCTACCCTGACAAGCAGTCTACCTGCCTGCTACCCTGACAAGCAGTCTACTTGCCTGCTACCTTGACAAGCAGTCTAACTGCCTGCTACCCTGACAAGCAGTCTAACTGCCTGCTACCCTGACAAGCAGTCTACCTGCCTGCTACCCTGACAAGCAGTCTACCTGCCTGCTACCCTGGCAAGCAGTCTACCTGCCTGCTACCCTGACAAGCAGTCTACTTGCCTGCTACCTTGACAAGCAGTCTAACTGCCTGCTACCCTGACAAGCAGTCTAACTACCTGCTACCCTGACAAGCAGTCTACCTGCCTGCTACCCTGACAAGCAGTCTACTTGCCTGCTACCTTGACAAGCAGTCTAACTGCCTGCTACCCTGACAAGCAGTCTAACTACCTGCTACCCTGACAAGCAGTCTACCTGCCTGCTACCCTGACAAGCAGTCTACCTGCCTGCTACCCTGGCAAGCAGTCTACCTGCCTGCTACCCTGACAAGCAGTCCACCTGCCTGCTACCCTGACAAGCAGTCCACCTGCCTGCTACCCTGACAAGCAGTCCACCTGCCTGCTACCCTGGCAAGCAGTCTACCTGCCTGCTACCCTGACAAGCAGTCCACCTGCCTGCTACCCTGACAAGCAGTCCACCTGCCTGCTACCCTGACAAGCAGTCCACCTGCCTGCTACCCT